AACAAAAACCCCTTTACTTGAGAGACAGTATGGCAATAATTGGTATGTCATGACAAGAAGTACATATTTAGAAGACCAGGATGTCAGGTACTCCAAGCAGCAAGCACTTATTCTACTGAGCTATCTCCCCAGCCCGACATTAGAATTTAAATGCACAGTTAAAGAAAACTAACAATTAGCTTTAACTGTTCACCTTAGCAAATCAGAGAGCTGGAGGAAAGATAAAGAGGAGAATAAGAACAGAAGCCAACACTACTAATGAACTAAATCAAACAAAACTGAGAGAACAAAGTTAAGATTAGTTCTTTGAAATTACTAGTAAGAGACAAACCTGATATTGTTAATAGGGAAAATGAGAAAATAATACTGGGAATGAAAAAGGACACAATTATAGATTTAGCCAAATTGAAAAGATAAAAGGATTATGCCAATAAATTTAAGAACCTGGATTAAACGAATAACTTTCTAGAAAATTATAATTTAGCAATGAGTATTAGGAAGACAAAAAGAGTCCTATGACTACTAAAGAATCACTTAATTAAAAAGAAATCTTCCCACAAAGAAAATAACAAACTGTGGAAGGTTTTATAGATGAATTTTGACAAAGTTATGAAAACCAGATGATTATGTTTTATTAGAAGAAAACTTGTAAAGCACCGAAAAAGGAGGAACCCACGAGCCCCTTTTATGAAATGATATGTACTTAATACCAATGAAAACTGGTATGACAAAGAAAAGTCATTAGCCAAGCTTTCTTATAAATACAGAAATGCTCCATACATAAAACATTAGCAAGCTCTGTGTTGAAAAATAATAAAAACTTTGAACCAACGTCATTTAATCTTAAACTTGGCAAACTAGAGTTTTGGGCATCTCTGTCAAACTTACACATCTTTCTTTATAATAAAGTATTAGACACATTTCCTTTTAAAAACAGCATTAGGCAGGTATGGTGGCACATACCTGTTATCCTAGTGTTTTAGGTTTTTTCTCATTGCTAAGACAAGATATCCACCACCCATTAGTTACAGGAGGAACTTCAGCTCACAATCTGTAGAGGTTTGAGTCCATAACTAGTTGCCTCCAAGGCAGGAGGGGCATGGCAGAGGAGAACTACTCCATGGAGGGCAGAAGGTAGCAAAATGACGAAGGACTACCACAGCTATTCTATCCTATCTTATCTAGGCTACTTAGGGCAGGTAAGTAATCAAACCCTAAATCCTAGTGCCCTTGAGTCTAGCACTGCTCCATGAATCAATCCCAGCATCACATACTCTAAATCTAGCCACTTCTGAACAAATACATTTAGGACTGCCTGAGGTTTTGCGGGAACATCCTAACACAAACCAAAACTCCCAGCATTTGTGAGGCTAAGGCAGGAAGACTGATATGAGTGTGTGGCCTGTCTGAACTATACAGTGAGACCCCGTCCCCATCCCCCCCAAAAAGCAAAAATGAATAAAATTAAAATACACACAAAAAAGGGACAAGATGCATTTTTATAAACTAGCAACAAATTCAAAATATAATTTAATACTCAGAAGGCTGGGGTAGGAGGACTGCTGTATATTTGAGGCCAGCTGGGAATGAATATGACTATATATTCACAGTGGCTTCAAAGTAGGGCTTTTAGGACTAAGCTTTTAAAAAGTGGAGCAAAGTCATCAGGAAGAAAACATTAGAACTTTATCCAAAAACTTTTAAAAAGACCTAACAGGGGGCCTGGCCCTAGCTCAGGCCTTTAAGTGGCTGCTTCCACAAAGCTGTCAGCCTCAGGTTGCTGGAGTTCGAACCTCACAACTCTCCCGCT